AAAGTCAATTAAAAACAATGAAACAAGAAAAACGGCATAATTATAATTCTATTTTATTCATTATCTAAATCAAACTTTACTAACAATTCGGCTATTAGCAAATAAAAAAAAAAAGAATTAAATAGATATGTCAGATAAAATGTCTTATAAGCATATTTATAATATGTACATAAAGTTTAACAAAGATATCCCCCTGTCGTCGCACTTTACTTGTTGCGCTACCACGACAAAAAATATGAATGCTACGGTTATTTGTCTTCGCCAGATTACCTGGTACAAAACCGTTTACCAAGCTGGATTAACCATGATGCTCGGTTTCCATACAATCGCTTACCCTATCGGCGACAGTCGCCGGAAGTTCTCGGGAAGTTTGAACCAGGTTCAACTTTTCCGTTTATTCAGGGGTGGTGCCAGGATTTGCCCGACGGGGAGAGAGGGGCGAGGTCCCGGGGTGGGGCGATTCCCCCGACGGGGGTCAGATTTCCCCGACAAAAGCAAAGTGGGCATGGTCGAGCTTCGATTAAAAGGTTTCGAAAGTGGCCCTGGGGCGAAGAGGCTTACCGTATTTAATCGATTTTAGAGTCTACTATATGTAAAAAATACATATAACTTGTTTTTCTCCCCAACAAATTGTGCTGTTTTCTCCCCCAAATCAAGGTGCATCGCTAGCTGCCCTGGCGTAATTAGGAAGGCACCCCGATTCGTCTGAAACGCAATCGGCAAAGTGGGCGGGGACAGGAACGGCCAAGCACTACTCAGAGGTTGGTCCAAGGAGCGGAACACCTGGAAATTCCCACTTAGGGATTTGAAAGGCTTATTTCTCCCCACCACCATTGACGTGAAAATTGGACTTCGTCAGGGATATCGCCTTTCTCTCGTCAGGAACATCGACACCTGTTGGGGACATCGGCCAAACGTCGGTGGCATCGCACCCACCCCCTTCCTCCTCTATTTTGGAACATCAAACGCCCGTCGAGCAAATACCAGCACCACGACTGTGGATCTGATGTCCCCGAGCAACATGTAATTTCATGTTCAAAGCCAGATTTAGGTATTTTAAGAAACCGTAGATTTTGTAGAATCCATTTTGCCACCATTTTGGTGGGCATATTGGATATTAAAAATGGCTTCCCTGCTAACTTAATATATTGACTTTGATGTGTCATTATCATGGATGATTATTTAATAAAGTATATATAAATTAAAGAAGAGAAAGAATTTTAAAATTCAACATGGCAGCTATTTTCAGTGATATTTATGTTGTATATCTTAGGTTATATTTGTTATTAATTTAGATACATTGGTAAAATACATTGGTCTGAATACATGTTTGCCCTTTTAATTTAAATATGGCTGTCAATTAAAAATAATTAATAGATAATTATAGATATTTTTAAGTAAATATACAAATTCATAAATTTGTCAATTTTCAAACAGTGCTTTATTCTCATGGGTACAACTTGATAATGAATCTATTCAAAAACATGCTCTATTTCTACTGTACACCAAAATACACATTATATCCTATCCAGCTTATTTTAGAAGTTCAAGTGATACTAGGAACCACTCAGAAGAAATAATGTGATCATGCTTTATATACCCGTTTCACACGAGATACAATGTTACATGGGGACGCGTTCTAAATGTTACATTTTATGGAAATGCCGTCGTCTTCACACGAGAAAACCTTAATAAAGTCGGTAGAATGGACCTTTCCAGGGAAGCAATAGCTTAAATCAGTCATGAGCTAAAAAAACAAAAGAAGTATAAATTCTATAATTTTGATTTGACTGATTTTGATATTTAAGCGAGTTATTAACTGAAATTTAACAATTTGTATTCATTTGCATTGACCAACCCTTAAATTGGCTGGTAATAGAATTGAAGATGTTTGTAGTTTTTGTAGATCAGTGAAAACTCTTTTTTGTTTGATCTGTTTCTCGTTGGCAGCTAATGAGCTATTTCAAATATTTTAGATTCAATTTTTTCCCATATTTTTTGCAGGCAGTGCATCCTTAACAGCTAACCAATCAGAACAGGCCCTGGAATACGCATGTGTTTGCAATTTCGACTTCTAGCACTTTTGAAAAACTTTCTAAAAGGTGTGAGCTTAGCTCAAAGGTCCATTTATATGCAGAAACCGAAGCTACACTCTGTGGGCATGCGCACATGATCCTTGCTAAATATCTCGGGGGTGTTAATTTTTATAGGTGGATATTATTACACGCGATGCGTGCTTCTCTTAGACGGATAATACGCATTTACTTTACAAGGACGCAATTTGACGCGTGCTAAAATTTTCGTAGCGGGTACACGTGTAATATTTTTTTCTTGTGTTAATCAGGTATAAGTCTCTATCTTATTACGAGGCATTGGTAGTAGAGTTATTTTTTAGTTGCTGCCATAGCAATTTAAACCCCAGAACCGTTTGTTATCGGGTCTGGCTCACTAAAAACGTGCAATTGGTCTTTAACTGAGAAAAATTAACTTCAGTTAACAAACTAGGGTTTTCTTTATAACGAAACTTTAATATGTCAAGAAAAATTACCTAAAATCGTAACATTCAACTTCAAAATAATTTTTTTCACAGCATACGGTACCCTTTAACACTATCAATACATTTGATATGCGATAACGTAAGTTACTGAACCAATGTTGAATAATAGATGGTTATAAGACGATCGTCTATAACTGAGTGTAAAATGTACCTATAAATACCATTATACATACGATGACAAATAAAAAACAAGTGGGGAAAAAGTGCCACACCCAAGTAATTACACATTTATATTGTTTTGAAAAATTTATGCTGTAATTATAACAATAATATATTTTATTCCGGTTGATATTTTTCATTTTCGCTCACTAAAAGTAAACAAACAACTTACATCTTCCCCATTAAAAATGCTCTGGTAACAAATGACATAAATTTGTTAGACATACACTTCCAATGATAATCGCATTATGTATGTAAATGTTAGTAACGCATGTTTCATATAATTATATAATTCCGATCATGAGTCTATCGTTGTAAAATCAAGTAAAATTATAATTTCTCTTCTCAATTGTGAGTACATGTTATTAAAAATAAATGATAACCTCGCATTCAAAATGAGCACATTTTTTTCAAAACTATCATAAATGACTGAAGAGTATTTTTGTCTATAATCAACAAGAACATTTGGTTTGTTTTTATATTTATTTTAGCTATGGTTTTTGAGAAAATATAATTAAAGTAGCTGATAATATGTTCTTTTAAAAAAAAAAAATATATGGTTAAGCTCCCTAATTTTGCTCGTTCCTTCGATTTGATAAAGTTTTGTAACCTACGTTACCAGGATTACTTATCTAATAGAACATTATAAAGATGATTTGCAAACTTATTTGTTGTCATCATATCTATTTGATGTTAAAGAATGTTGATTAGGTAAATTTATTTAATGTGTAACGTTTACTTTCATAAATTTACTCGCGATTATAATGTACACATAATATTTTACTGTAATATACGTTACCTCAAAATAGATCAGAAATATATGCAATAGGGATAATTTCCATGAATGATAGCATTCCTATATAGAGAGTCACTGTATGTTAGGATATATGTAACAGAATGTAAATATATCAGCCACTGCCCATGTTTTTATTAAATGATGTTTATTATATGCTATATCAACAATAACATACGTTACCGTGTGTTTAACATACGTTACTTTTCACAACGTAGTAATCCTTTCAACTAGGCCTAAGCTATTGCCTGAAATTTTCAATTTTACATTTCATTATAAATATTAACTATTTTGTTAACTAAATATAGTCGAGACACAGCCTATAATAAATACCAAGTTGCTTCACTTTAATGATGGGCGTAGGACCATTCGAGGGAATCACACAGTTGATAAATACAAGGTTCTGGGTGTCAATTGCTCAATGCCAGTTTTTCTTGGAAGGTTCTAAAACTTTCATGTGTCGTTGGCGGCGTAAATAAAGTCATTTATTAATAGTTTTATGCCTTCTATATTTCATTAATATGGATTAATATTCCAAATTACTAATTAAACATGATTACTTAACACCAATAATGATTTACTGACGCGGTGTCCATGCTTATTACTTAACTACTTCTCACGTTTTGTTTGGTTCAAATTCTTGAACTGGTATATGAAGAAATCAGGTAACGTATGTTTCACTGCTTAAAAGCGACAATCAAAATTTCAAGTTTAAGACCATATTTAGCATAGATGACTATTCTACTTTTCCAAATTAACAATACAGTATTCATAACACCCTATACTAAGCAAATATTAGTTATTACCTTAAATGTTTCCTGCAATAATATATGTTTTTTCCTGGAAATTATGATTACGTAACGTAAATTAAGTGCATTTGGCGACACGGATAAACTGTACCATAACCATACTAAACCCACCACGATTTAAAAATTTAAAGTACGAACTGGCAACCTTCCTACCAGCTTACAAATCGGTAACTATAAGGGTAGTGGCTATCGCAGTGCCTATATTATTGTTAACATTATATTATATATGTTTAACAATTAGTTTAAATAATTATTTCTAATTAAATTATTAAATGTATACAATATATATTATTTAGGCCTAGGCATATACATAAAACAAAAAATAAACAAACAATAATAATAATAATAATAACAA